AAGATCTACTGTTAGGGGTTCCAGAAGTATTCAGACCACAGCAAATGCTTAGAAGAATATGTATGATTTATTATATTGATAATAAAACTGTTATCTTAATTAATATAATTATGTTTACAATTACTTGTTCAATTGACTATGTTTTTATCCCAATAAACATTTTTTTATAAATGTGCGTGCATGTGTGCGTGCGTGCGTGCGTGCGTGCGTGTGTGTGTGTGCATATAAAAGTCAGAACTCAACATTGGAGCAGTTCTCAATTACTCTTCACCTTATTTTTTGAGGCAAGGTCTCTCCCTGGTCCTGGCATTTGCTGAACTAGCTAGACTACATGACCAATCAGTCCCAGGAATCCTCCTTCCTCCACTTCCCTAGTACTGGGATTACAGGTATACCACTGCAGTAGGCCTTTTTCATGTGTGTCCTGGGATTCAAATTCATGGTCTCAAATTCATGCAGCATGCACTTTGCTAACTGGGCCATGTTCCTAGCACTCATAAAACATGACTAGCTAGTCCTTTAACTAATTTTGAAAAAACAAATTATTATGTCTTCTGAGTGCAAATCCTGGATTATGCCTCTGAGGATTTAAGTGTGTGCATTAAAAGACCATCTTGCTGCATTGTTATCTTCGGTCTTGATTCAGTTTGCTGATTGACATCAGGGCCTTTCTTCTCCAGTAGTAGAAGCTCATGACCATTGGAGGTGGGTGTGTGTCCTTGTGGGCTAATGCTGTGTTCGGAACTCACATCTGTTCATCTGTGGTGTCATTCTGATTGAGTGTTTGCTTTACTGAGTACAGTGGGAGAACTGGGCAGCAGTTGGGAGACACAGGCAATTTGGGGGTGGGTTCCTATTTCTTCCAGTCCTTGTAGACCAGCTCCCAGGTACTAGCTTGCCTCACTGACCCTAGCAGCTATACTCAGTGCTGGTGGCAGCGAGGGCGAGGTGTGTCTGGGGGATACGTGTGTTGCTGAGTCTCCTTGTTCTGTGTGTACTTCTTCATATCAGCCATCACTATATATCTAAAATAATCTTGTCACTGACCGTTTGCAAGCTTGTTTGTCTCTGAGAGGTGAGGGTTTTGTGTGACTCAGGCTCCTCAGGTCCTAGTACTGCTTTTACATAGAATGATCTACTTCGTATGAGTCAAAGAATCAATACAGCCCCTTGGTTTCTCACCACAGTAAATGTGTCTACCCATGCAGTGTCAGCCTGCACAAATCTCACCTACACAGTTCCTTTGAGGCCGTATCAAATGTTACATTCACTCTTACTGATCATCTAGGCAGTGCTCTGGATAAGTGGCCAGCTGATGGTGCTTCTTTTAAGATTTTAATGTATATTTAAAATTATTTTTTTTTCTGAGATAGGCATGATGGCTCAGCACTTGGGAGGGTCAAGGTAGTAGTTAAGTCAGCGGCAAACCTGGGCTACATCTGAACCCTACACATGTTATTTCTGATTTCCACATTGGGATCTGAGTTGGCATATAGATTTGTTATTAAAGAACACAGAACATAACAGGGAGAAGACACCTTTGGGTTCTTTTTATTCTTTTATGAGTACTTTAGAAACACAGGATGTTTTAAATATGTAAACATACCAAGAACAATATTATCAATACCTGTAACTAGCAGCCCATATTTAACTATTCCAAACAAGTAACAATATTTGCTTCAGCTTTTAAAAACCCAAAGTTCTCACTGTGCTTCCTGGCCTTCCCTGTTTCCCCTCTTTCGTCCTCTCTGGCCAGTTGCTGTGCACCTCCTGCCTATGCCAGCCTTTCTATTGTTGTTGCGTACTTACCACAGAGATGACTAGCAGACAGGTGTGTTTTCCTGGCATTTAAGATATGCCTGAATGGTCTCAGTTCCCCCAGTGCTTCAGATCACGTCAGGAGTAAAACCTTACCTTGGTTGCATCCTGACTGCCTTTGCTACTTGCTATTTTCTCTTTTTTCCTATCAGTTAACATCATGTATCTAAAATAATCTTAGTTGCTGACCTGTTGCCCCCACACTTCCTGTCTGCCCTTGTGAAGGCTGGGGTTCCATGTTACCTGGGCTGTTCTGTAAGAAACTCAGAGCGCAAAAGAAGTAATAGCCAACCAAAATGTAATGGTAGAGATTCCACTTCCGTTATATTTAATGTTTTCCTTTCTATAGGAGGAGGTATGTCTAGTGCAGTGGGGTACTCACCAGAGAAGACTTCTCAGACATAGATTTAAGTCAAAAGACAGTCTTTATTAGCCAGCCAGTGACTATGCTAGAATCCCAGTGTAGCCTAGAGCCTTTCTCAGGGTGAGATTTTAAGCACAAAAATCATGCATGTCCTGGCTTGGACATACTTCAGTCAACAAGAACAGGTTGCCAGAAGCAGAACCACAGAAGCCAAAAAAGCAAGGCTAGTACATTTAGAGACTTTCTCAGAACTGAGGACTTTGATGGATTAGGCTGAGTTTTAGCTTTAGCAGAGGGTGCTGTCTACATGCTGAGTGTTATAGCTGGATGGTCCCTCCATCATGGAGTCAGTGGTGCTAAGGTCTTGGTGCCTACTAAGGCCTGGGGCCCCATTATGTCTAGACTTATTTTTTTATAGACTTTTGTTTTCTTTTAAATTAAACAAAAGGAAAAACTGTTGATAAGAGCACAGACAGTATTCAAACATAGAAAGAAATCAGATCGTCTGCTGGAATAGCTGAAAGCACTTGGCCAAAGGAAGAGAGTGTGGTGTTCCTAAACAGGGCATTCAAAGCTCTGCCTGATCTGCCTGACCTGCCCTCTGCCCTCTCCTGGTCCTGAGATTTCCCACCCTTCACCTGCCTGCCACTGCTTTCTCCCATCCCCCTCCCTCACTCCCTAAGGTGCCCTTTGTGGATCTCTCTTTGAGGCTACATCCATCCTTTCTGTCTGAGACAGGGGCTTCCTCAGCAGCAATCACTGCTGTGGACTATTCCAAACTTATTGTAAACCCCAAAGTAGAATCTTGTGTTATTAGAGTCAGGGGGAAAGATCTTTTTGTGGTTTCGCATAAGTCAGTATTGCTTTTCTATGAGCATGTTTATCTCCTATTTTCAAGTTTGAAGCTTTAAAAGGGAGCCCTGCTTATGACTTCCAAATCCCTAATCTGAAATTATTTTCTTTCACTTTGAGACATATATTAACCTTCTATCTAGAAGAAGGTGAGATTAAAAAACAAACAAACAAACAAACAAACAAAGATGACACACAGGGAAAAGGGTAGTGGAGGGAAGAGATGACTTCTATATGGTCCCTTCATGGTGGCTTACGGCTTCGCACCTATTAATGAGCAGAATGATTTCAGTTGGGAAGCCAAAGACAAATAGAGCCCTTAAACTATTTTAAAACATTTAAAGCTACTTTGCCTTAAAGGCAAAAGCTCCCAACCCGTTGCTGACATTCGTTTGCTGTCACAACAGCGTTCTAGTTTCATGGTATGGTTTAGAGAGCACGTGATCGGCAACAGTGAGTCCAGGACTAAAAGGTCCAGCCAGCACTAACTTCATTAGCATTCGTCTGCTCATTCGTTCTTTCAACTTGTCCTGAAGCTCATAATTAGTTTACACTTCATGACTTTAAAAAACAAGTAGCACTAGCCCAGGTGTAGGTGTACATGTGTTATCTGAGTACTCGGGAGGTATTTCCAGGACGATGAGGAGTTCAAGGCCTTCCTCAGCTCCACAGTGAAGCAAAGACATCCTTGAACTATGTAAGATCTGTCTCATAACCAAACCAAGCCAACCAACCAATAAAATAAATCAGAAGAACCTCTACCCCCCCCCCCAAGAAAACAAAACAAAAAGTCAAGTAAAAACCAAAACCCCAGTGCGCTTAGCCTCTTGTCTCAACAGATGTGAGAGGAACACTCTGGGAATTATTGATGAGTTGAAGTGAGTGGAGAGAGTTCAGTATAAATGTTTTCTTCCGATGTATTTTGAGTGGCCAAACTAGGCTGCGAGGGGGTTGGGGAAGTGACTTTACACTTTTGATAAAGAAAGTCTGGTTACCACTGCAAACACCCAGCTTTTGAGTGAAAAAGCGAGCGAAGTCAAATAGCTCGCGGGTCAGGACTCACTATCCTGGAGCCAAACTTTCTCCATCTCTCCGGCTAGGTCACCGCGGAAAAGCCGCAGAGGAGGAAACGCTGGGTTGAACACTATGTTGCCCAGTTAATGTCAGCCTGGGAGTCACCTGAAGCCTTGGAGCTACTGCACCCAGGGAGCAAGCTTCTCTTTTCAATTCGGTCATTTCCGTGGGGAATTGCGGCACGCGCAGGGCTTGGGTGTGGCGATGTCGAGACGGAGCTCACATCTCCCGGATTTCCAGCTTCTAGCAAATCTACTCAGCTGAGCCAACCACAGATGATTCGGGCCTTCCTTCCTGCAACCCAGGGCCCGCGAATGACCGTGACCCCGTGGCCACTGCCCAGCACCAAAGCTAGGCTGCCCGCTCGGCGCGTGTGAGCTTCTCTCCAAGTCGCTCAGCGCGGGGAGGCGGATCCCCTTCCCTGCGCACAAGTCCTTATATGCACCGGTTGCACCGGCCCGCCTTTACTCCAGCCCCACAAATAATTAATGGGGGGAGGGAATGCTGCTTTTTCCCGCTGTCTCTCCCCACCACCCTTTTTACCATTAGAGTAACTGAACGCAGTCAAGAAACCCCAAGATACGATCGAAGAGCCATTTTGGTGCAGTGCACAAATTGGACATATTAAAAAAAATAGCTTTCAGGTTCCTGCACAGAGAGGTTCAAGAATGGCTTTTTAAATTCAGCACCATTACCCCCGCAAAAGCTGGGGCGGAAAGGGTGCGTACCCCTCCCCCACCCTGGCTAGTGGCAGAGGGACCCGGTCAGGAAGCGCGGCCTCTCCCCAGTCGGAGACCACGCCTCCCCCCTCCTCCCAGGAAGCGGTGATAGACAGTTCTGTGTGGTTCTCCACCCCCACCCCCCCAGCTGAGTGGAGGAGTTGATATGTCTCATTATAACAGCCAATGCAGCCGCCATCCACGCACAAGCAAAGAAGCATGTCCCATTTAAATACACCCACGCAGCCCCAGCGCCCTTAGCCGATCAGGGCGCGCAGCCCACACGCACCAAGGCTCCGGGCTTGGAGATCCGCGCAGGTCGGGCTCCGGGATCCCGCGGATCGACGCTCTCGGAAGATCGGGATCGGACTCCTGTTGGGGCCCGGGTGGGCGGGGGAGGCTGGGCCCCGGGCCTCTCTGGCGGACAGCCGCATGAGGACGCGAGCGAAATAGACCAGGGTGGAATTGCCAAGGAAGACGCTTCAGGGTGGTTTTGGTCCATTTCTGCCGCGAAGAGTCGACATGGCGAGCGACTCCCCAGCTCGCAGCCTAGATGAAATCGATCTCTCCGCCCTGAGGGTGAGCAGAACGTGTTTTTGCCTTTCTTTCCTATGGTCTGGGGCTGGAAGAGGGAACGTTCCCTGCCTTCCCTTTCTGATTCCAGGACAGCCGAGGGGTTCTAGGCTGAGCCCCTACCCTTGCAGCAGGGGCTGGGCTCCCCTTGTGCTCCTAGGCTGTTCCCGAGGCTCCGCAAGGAAGCTGGTGGAGCTTATGTCAGTTTCATCTTCGATCTGTGTAAGAGCATTACATGAAAGGCTGGTGTGTGTGTGTGTGTGTGTGTGTGTGTGTGTGTGTGTGTGTGTGTGTATACCCGGGCAACCGTCTCGTGCCAAGGCGCGAGACCCGACTGCTCCTTGCTGCAAAAAGATTCTCCTCGAGAAGAAAGGCACTGGCCCTTCACGTTTGCCAGCTACCTGCAAGATGCCATCGTGAGCTAGCTGTCGCCACCAGTGAACCCTGCCGCTCCAGGGGAGCAATAATTGCTGTTCTGGGCTGGTCTTGTAGGTGGTAACTGACTCCCTTCCCTGGTTCTGCCTCCTGTGCAGGGGCTCTGGCTGAGCTTTCACCAAACGCTAGTGTGCACTCACCTTTATCTGTGGTTTGAACTCAGCCCTGCCTATTCCTTCCCTTGGTGACTGTGACCTTTCAGTTTTATGGCTGAACTTCAGCAGGTGAAAGAGACGCTTAACAGCGTCTCCCCACCACATCGGAACTCCCTGGAGAGACTGTGTGTGTGTGTGTGTGTGTGTGTGTGTGTGTGTCTCCCAGGTCTGTGACCAGTCCTTTGTAAAACACATTCCCTTTCCCCAGCCCGGCCGCTTTGCCTTTACCTACTGAAACACCTCAGACGTCGTTCCATTGTACTGAATAAGACTTCAGTGATCTAGAATCCATTTTGCTGTTGTTTGAAAATCAGACTGCCAGGAATCCCATTGCAGCCCCGACACTTCCCCGCCCCCATCTCTAATCCCAGCACACTCCTTCGGGGAAGGGGGCCGAGCGTTCTTGCCATTTTAATTAGATGCTGCCTGCCAGGAAGGGGGTGAGGAGGGGTGGTGATGGTGGCAGCAGCAGGCATCTGAGAAAGATTGGACACCAATCTCAGTTCGACTAGTTTCTTCCTCTCCTGAACTAAAAATAAAATAAGCAGCAAATGCATATGCTTGATGCCTGGAGGGTAGGTGAGACCTAAGCCATGGTATCTCGTGTCATCCACTGCCAGTAGGGGTGGAAGTTCAGTGGTCTTCTGGAACACATTGTTAGATGGATGCTAAAATCTTGAGGCCATTTACCTGTGTCTACAAAAGCTTTTCCTGCCCTTACCTTTCTCTACAAACATTTTAAGGGGCTAGATACCTGTCTGATGGAAGTGATACTTTTTCTTCGGGCTCCAGGAACCTCTTTTCTTCCCTTTCCTTGAATCCGTGCCCCTTTCCTTATCTTTTGGTCCAGAGAGGTAAAGATTCAGAGAGACAGCTTTGACTGCCCTTTGAAATGGCCTGTTGTGATAGTGGGGCAGCAAAAGCTCATTCATGCATGATTACAGTAAGCTGTCTGTTTCTCTGGTGCCCGAAGGCCACATCCAGAACCAGTGAGTAGCTGAGTGTGGGGGCTGGGAGCAGAGTGGGTGCTTTAAACAAGCGAGGCTTCCTCTTCACCCACTGTGTGTGCACTTTTGCTCCACTTCTGTCTGGGAGTTGCTGTGGTGTGAGTTAATCAGGTGGACCAGACTTGGGGAAGGAGGAGTGGCTAAGAGGTAGAGGCCTGAACAATGAGGCAGGCTTGTGATTTAGCTAAGCAGGAATCTTAACATCACTCTCCCTGATGTGATTTTTAAGTTAAGGGGCGGGGGCTAGCTTCTGTGGGCAAGGTTTTCTGAAATACCAAGCACAGAACTTGTCATCAGAGCACCTTGATTCACACTTGAGGAGACCTGAGCTCTGCTACGTGTATTTGGAACAGATATCTTTGTATGATTTACTGAGATTGCTCTTTGTCACACAGGATGCCCAATGAATTCTCTGCCTGCACTAGGGTGTGCAAAGAGCTAGGAAACCAGCTACTCCCAGTGTCTGGGGAGCTACTGGCTGGAAGACTTACATGCAGATGGGCAGACAGTTGTACTCAGCAGGCCTGGGAGATTCAGGCAGTCTTGTGGTGGGCGAGGTGTGCAGGTAGGTTTGTCTCCGAGGGCTAGAAGGTGATCCTCACAAACAAGAGCCTGCCTCCCCAGATGTGGAGAGGTTGGTTCCTAAGCTTGCAGAAAAGTCCTTCTGAGGAGACCCTGACCCTGAAATGCAGGCAAGGTCAGGGAGGCAGCCCTGCCAGCCCCGAGGACACCCCCATGGCTCTGTAATGTATACAATCAATGCTCTGTGTAGGCCCTGAGCTTGGTGGTTTAAGAGCAGATCCTGGCTAGAGAGGCCTTTCTCCTTCTGACTTTGGGGCCTTATTGTTCTCAGCCAGTGATCCCAGACTGGGCCCAGTCTAAAATTCTCCCCAATAGGAACAATGCATAATTCAGACCAGAGCAACTGGTACCAGCCCTGACATTTAAACCACACAAGATTTGGGTGGGTTTTTGTTGTTGTTGTTGTGGTGGTGGTTGTTTTGTTTTTGTTTTTGAGTGAAATGAAGTTGGGTTTTTGATTAGAATTCGATTTATTAAGCCCTCATCTCAGAGTTCATGAAGCTCAGCTAAATCTTGAGTGTTAGGTAGGGGGTGGTTTCATAGATGAGAGCTGAAAAAAAATCACAGAACACTGGACCATTCCCATAATGTAACACTCAGGGGAAATTAAAGCCAAGAGAAGTAAAGTTTGTTGTCCAAGGTCACACAGTCAAGGGGGAAATAAAAGTAGCCAGAGTATGGTTCCTGACTCCTCAACCTGTTCTCTAAGACACATCATCTGTAGCTGGAAATGAAATCAGTGAGATGTTTTCTGCTGATGGGGAGAGCAAGAGAAAGAAATCTCTTGATGAGGGGCATGGATTTTTTTTTTTTTTTTTTGTCTTGAGAGTGAAAAACCTGCTAGAAACAGGGAACTTATCAAATCAAGTGACCAGAGCTATCCAGCACCTTTGGAATTTATCTTGCCTAGCCTTCTTTTAATCTCTTCTTCGCAGGCAAATAGAGATCTAAATCGTGTAGGCAGATGGTGTCCTGCGTGGATAACCTCTCTCAGTAACCCGTCTCCATCTGAACATGTCCCAAGGGGTCCGTCCAGACATGCACATTATTCAGACGTCTCTCTCTGTGTGAGGTTTCTGGTGTCCACACATGCTTTTTACAATTGCTGGAGATGCGGATATTACATATAGTATTACGAACATAAATTCTATCCATGTGGGTGTATGAAAATGTGTATGCATGCGCACAGACTACTGCAAACAATCTTCTTATTCAGACCTGGGCTTGAGTCATGCTTGCTTCAGACCTCACTGTATTAAAAGATGAAATTATCCACCATGATGCTGCATTGCCTATGAGGTGCGCTCAGCCCAGAAAGCTTTTTGAAGACGATCATGTTTCTGAGCTGGAGCACACTAGCTCTGCTATGCTTGGCCCACGGCATCGAGCATTCAAGGTCAGGGGTTCTGACCTCAGCCTTTCAGCTTGGGGCAGGACTCAGACATACTTTTCTAGTTGAACAAAATTAGATGACTTATACCCGCCTTTTTCCTCCCCCCTCATGTCTTTCTGGGCCTAGCCACTCTCTTTTTCCCATGTCCCTGCCCCTCCTGTATGTGTGTGCAGCATTTGCATATGTAAGTTGATACACCCATGTGTTTAGCTGGCATGTTTGTGTGTGTGCGTTCGAATGGGGAGACCAGGGGTCAGTGTCAGGTGCCTATTTCTCTGACCCTTATTTTTGTTTTTATTTAACTTTACTTTTTTATGTGTTTGGGTGTTTTAAATTCATGTATGCCTGTGCACGACAGCATCCTTGGAGACTGCAGAGGCCAAAAGTAGATGTCTGATCCCTTGAAACTGGAGTTACAGATGGTTGTGAGCTGCCACATGAGTGTAGGGAATGAAACCCAGGTCATCAGGAAAAGCAGCCATCTCTCCGGGCCTCTCCACTTTACTTCTTGAGACAGGTTCTCTCACTAACCCTGCAACCCACTGATTGAGCAAGACTAGCTTAGCTTGTCTCCAAGCCTCAGGAATCTTCCTGTTCCCCCTCCCCATCTCCTTACAGTCACTGCCACATACAGCTTTTTGTGTGTGTGGCTGCTGGGGATCAAAACTCAGGTCCTCACACTTATGCAGCAAGCACTTTGCCAACTGAGCCATCTACTTCTCCATCAAATTCCAGATGGAAGAATCAGTCTCATCTGGAAAGCTCACATGTACCTCTCAACTGCACTTTGCATGCTTGTGCTACTGGGGCTGGGGTGGTGAGGTTTTTTTTTTTCCCCTTCCTTACAAGTTCATTAAGGGCCATAGAGTCTTTTTAACTTAGTTATTTCATTAGTTGAACAAGTGATTGGATGAGTGAATGAAGAAGTGAATGAGCATATGGATGAATGAATGCATTAGTGAATGAGGTGGAATGGTCACAAGCTCCCGGGCTTCTTGTGCACATCTTATTAGTTCTGTGACATGGGGCATGCCTAGGTGTCAGCAGCACAGAGATGGAATGACAACTTCATGTCTTCATCATCCTGGATTCTAAAATCAAAGGCTTTATTGCGCAGCACTTAGGTCACAAGGCAACGTACTAATATGCCATTAGATAGAATTTTATGGGAAGCTCACCAGTGTTTGATTCCAGTGACTGCACCTTGTGAAAAGGCTGAAGGACAGTTTTTTGTGTGTGTGTGTGTTTATCTGTTTTTGTTTTTTTTTTTTGAGACAAGTTGTTAAGATATAGCCTAGGATTGTGTGAAGCTTACTCTGGCCTATACTAGCTTTGAATTCTGAATAGTTCTGCCTTTGTCTCTCGAATGCTGGGATGGCAGATGTGTGCCATGGTGTCTAGTTCAGAAGACACACCTTTTAGAGTGTGTGCATG